AAGGCACACCCCCAGGAACCCACTTCCTCCAGCAACACTCTACCAGCCCATAATTACCATCCAGTTAATCCATATCAGGGATTAAATTGCTGATTAGATTAAGGTTCTTATAACAATCATTTCTCTTCTAATCCTCCTTGCATTGTCTCACATATGAGCTTTTGGGGGACACCTCACATCCAAATCATAACAGCTCTAGCGATCTTTAAGTCAATGGAAAACTTGCCTATCTTGGGGCTTATGGGAGGATAAAGGAGGATGATCACCAATAAATAAATTAGATGAGCAATGAATTCTCTGGAAAGTACTTCCAGAGGTTCTCACCTTCTTAAAAATTGGCCATGTCTTAAGTTTGAGTAAGATTTGAACTTGGGAAATAGAAAAGATATCTAAGTCCTGTAGGAGAGAAGAAAAACCCATCTCGATAGCCTAACTCTGTATGCAATCTCTGTGTTGCCTAATTTATCAGAAGTCTGTTCTTAAAATTATCTTTCCCCTATGGATAGAACTACGTAGTTAGCAAAATGATTTCACATCCACTATTTTGTTTGATTTTCACAATGAGATAGTGAGATAGGAAGTCAGGGATTATTTATCCACAAAACCAAAACTGAAATCCTTAGCAGATTTCACAGAGAGAATCTCTTTCTAAAGTAATAGCACCTTGAGTCCCTGCTCTGCCTTGCATTATCTGAGCTAAGCATCATAGAGGTGGTTAAACAGAGAAGCAAGGCCAGGAAAGAAGCCTTCCTTCAACCCCTTGCCAAGTTCTGCAGTGTTGCAGGCACATTTAACTAGGCCCTCAGGAAAGAGCAGTGAACAAGAATAGCAAGGTCCTCAGCATTAATTCAATAGACAAAGAACCCCAAAATCAAATCCCCAAAGAATCCCAAATCAAATTATAATAACCTGTTCTTACCACCTATCACCTAGTCGTGGCCACAAGGCATGTCTACGTAGTCATACTGTCTCCAAATTAAGGAGAACCATTTGTCTTAAACTGGGCATGGCTGAACTGAGGCAAGCTTTCAAAAGGAACTTTCTATTGCACTTTACTAGTTAACCTCAGATCAAACTATTACCCTTTAAGAGACATTATAAGAACCCAACAAGCTACAATATGTGCCATAACCTGAATCCCTGACTCATCATTCTGATCCATGAAAATCTGGGACTGTCGTTCTTATAAGTACCACACACTAACTGATTGTGCCACTGGAGCTCCAGGAGACTGTCATTCTTAAAGCTTAATATTCATAAGCTTAATATTCATCTTCATTAAAATGTTATTTTACTAGCCTGACCATGAATTGAGTGAATGGGTTCCAGGAATCTGTTCTTTTTCCAAGCTATTAGGTGATATTAGCACAAGTAGCCTCCTGATCACACTTTGGTTATTTTTTCTTTTTAAATATTTCAGTCATCCTTCTAAAGAAATGACTCAGAAATGTAAGAAACATGATAGAAGCTGAATCTACTTGGATAGGGAAGACTCAGGAATCTTGTGGCTAGATGGAGGAGCAATATAGAACCAAGAGTTCTGTTTGGTTGCATTATAGTTGAGATTCCTAACAGACATCTACATAGTGTACATTTTCAGGAAGCAAATTGGATCTTCTGATCTGGAGCCCAGAGGAGAACTGCAAACTTGAGATTATAATCAAAGGGAAAGCTGACAGCATGAAGATGGCACTGCACGGGGTGGTGCAGTCCGTCATACAGAGGAAGAGTATGGTGAAGAAGAGTAGCAAGAACCAGGCACTGAACAGTTCCAACAGCGAGAGGCCAGACAGAGAAGGAAGAGCTCCTCAGAGGGATGGAGAAGGGGTTGCTAGGACTTAGGAGGAAAACCAGGGAACTGCAAGGTTTAGGAAATATGATGTAGGAGGAGTTTTAAGAAACAAGCTGGGCTGACTACAGGAGGTCAAAGAAAAAGACTGTTTTCAAAATTGGAAATATCTAGAAGATAAAAGTTGTCTAAAGTTAAAAACCAAGCAGAAGAAGAGGAGATGTATTGCAAATCAGATACTAAAGGATTAATATCCAGAATATTATATTGAACACCAGAAATTAATAAGAAAAATACAACAAAGTTGTCACCAAAAGGATAAAGCATAGAAAGATATAGTCCATGAAGGTCAAATATGAAGAGTTAAGAAGAGTTAAGAATTAATTTAAAATAGTTTCAACCTGACAAGAAATCTGAGAATTGTGAATTAAATGAGAGTGTCTTTTTAATTAACAAAATGAGAAAAGATGGATAATAATCAATATTGGTGAGGGAAAAGACTAAAGAACACTCTCATATCCTGTTAATGAGAACATAAAATTGCCGCAGTGTTCTTGGAGGTCAATCCTAAATGTGGCCACATGTTAATTAACAATTTTGCTTTTTGTAGCTCTCAGAAAGAAATACTGGCACATGCACAAAAAAATGTGTTCAGAGCTCTATATAGTACAGTTAGTAATAGCAAAAATTTGGAAATACCTACGTGCCCACTAATGGAAAATAATTAAATAATTAAAAATACATTTAATATGTATTTTTAGTACAGAAGAGTATGGAACAGCTAAAAAAGAATGAGCTATATCTGTACGTTCTCCAATAGAATTATCTTTAAACTGTGCTGTTAAAGAATAAAAAGCAAGATATAGAGAAGTACATATCCAGTGGTACCATTTATATAAAGTAATGGGAGAAAAAGCTATGATTTTATGTTTTTATGAATGTTTATAAATACATTGAAAAGATCTCTAGATTAATGTTAATTGTTGTCTCTGGGGATAGGCATTAGCAGGATAAAAACTGATTTTACTTTTTGGTTTTTTTTTGGCTTTATATTTCTTGAATTCACCTGAATTTGTTGATGATGTACTTGAGGAATTTTTAAGAAAATTGCAGAATCATCTTAAGATGCATTATGTTAAAACAATTGGTTTGGAGAGCTCATTTGTGATTTATTCATCAAGAGTTTAAGTTCCTATATGTATATCATGTTGACAATTTTGTTTATTTCTGTGAATCAAATAGGCACAACTCGTGTCCCTGTAAGAGTTACCCTGCAGTGGATTCAGGTTGGAAATAGTTTTTTCTTCTCTGCATAGGCTTCATTCCCTTTACTAAGACTCCTCATCCCCACAGAAAAATACCTCCATCCGGCTTCCTATACTTTCATGATCTCATGACGAGGTATAAGGAATGAATACGGAGAACACATCTGTAAGCTATTGCTAAACCTCCATCTCTTTGCTTGATAACATACTACACATTACTGAAACATAAGAGGAAAAAATTGTACCATGTTAGTAAAATGGGCTTTCTTGAGCTGCCCTAGAAACTTCCAAGTTCTTTCTGTGTTGGTGTCTGTGGGAAAAAGCCACCAACTTATAAACAACCGTGTTAGGACACATATTGCTGAAACATATGATGTTTGTAACTCACTGACAGCCTGTACTTAGGTAACTGCGAGCTTAAATAGCTAAAAAACTCTCCAGCACCCACACAGAAATTCTTATACTCACTTTGTGGTTGGATTCCTTCTCTGACACTCAGTAAGGCATAATAATTAGGAGAGACTATCAAACTCTTAGAGGATCCTTTGGGGGCTTCCACCAGCTGGGACCTCCACACCACACTAAGGCTTTAGCTCCAAGACTGCCCACACTGGTAGCTAAAAATTGGATTCATGCTTCTGAGGAGTCTCTGTGACACTGTGTTTATATTTCACAGTAGTTCTGTTTTCTCTTCTTCTTTTCTAACACAAGTAAACGAAAATTCCCTAATTTTCAGCTGCCAGCACAGCTGAATACTGACATCATCAGAATAACTAAATGCTTGTGTCAAAAAGGAGCTGCTCTTTAGGAATTCCAAAGTCTCTCAGGGCAAAAAAGAAAACAGTACTGATAACTCACTTTGCTACAGAATGAACATCCATATTACACATGACTTTTAATAGTCGAGAAAAATTCTATCACAGGGTGACCAGAAAGTTCTCAGGGACTAGCTATGAACATTCAACTCCAATGTCACTTCAACCTCCACCAACCTGTGTGAACTTGGGTAGGTCACTTAACCTCTCTATGCTTTCATATTCTATTTCCTTCTTCCTGTTCTTCTGTCTCCTTCCTGATATGCTCTCCATGTCTCAAATTCTTATAAAAATGCCTTTCTGTGAAGCCTTTTTGAATTCCTTCAGCCAAAATCAGCTTTCTTCCTACTCATACCCTTCTTTGAGTTAGTACATTCCTCCATTACATCATTTATCATATGGCATTACTATTGTATATTATTCTGTTTATTTGAGTTGTTTACATTACTTTAGGGCTATCTTAGACTATCAGGCACTATGAGATTACTAACAGTTCTATTTATATTAATCAGATTATTAGTAATAGTATGAGCACTTACTCTGTGTCAGGCCCTATAAATACATTATTTCTAATTGTCACAAAAATCCAGTGAGAATGACACTATCCTTATTGTTGTTTCTATATTTGAGGAAAGCAAATGCAAGAATGATTATACAGAAGGTGAGTAGGGGCACTGAGAATCAGGATAAGGACCAGCCTGCTTTAAGTCCATGCTTTTGATTACTCCTTTGAGATACTACCTTTAGAGAGTGGCAGATCACCTTTCCTTAGTGCTTACCAGGTGTCAGGATCTATGCTATGTGCACCACATGGTAGCTAATTTGATCCTCACAAAAATCCTGTGATGTAGATAAAGCAATTATAATCGGAAAAAAAAAATCAGGCTCAGAATTGTTAAATGACCTCCCTAAGGTCAGAGAACTAAGAGATCGGGTCAGAATGTGAGTTAGTTCTCCCTCCACAGCCAGAGTCCTATCCCACTACTTTATTTCATGATCAAATGTTACAATCTTCCATAAGCTCTGCAAACCCTGTGCAGGTTTTCAGAAATAAACCTCCTAGAAACAGAAGGCTGGAGCATTACCCCTTATAAATAAAGCAAATGAATCAAATGGGCCCTAAACACTCACCTCAGTACATGCGTGGATCCGTTAATGGTTGTGGTTGAACAGGGGACAGTCTGGCCTAGAATGGAAGGTCTTCTGTAGCGTTCATCGTCACAACAGAGGATGATGAGGAAGGCACGTCTGAAAGACTTGTTCAAGAAGGCGTAGAGGAAGGGGTTCAGCCCAGAATTGATATAGCCGAGCCAGAGGAAAGCAGTCCACACCTGCCCGGGCACAGTGTAGTCTATGAAAGGATCCACAATATTGGTGACAAAGAATGGAGCCCAGCAGAGGCAGAAGCAACCCATTATGATGCACAGGGTCTTGGCCGCTTTGGTCTCTGTCCTCATGCGATGAGTGCTGTGCTGGTCAGCTGGCTGGGGCCTGCCCTCTGAGGGGGCTCCTGCCCGCTGCAACATCTGGATCTGGTGGGCATGCTCCTTGGCGGTGACGTAGATGCGATAATAGGCCAGCACCATGAGGAGAAACGGGATGTAGAAGGCCACCACGGAGCAGGTGATGGCGTAGGGCTTGTTGACCATGAAGATGCAGTAGGTCGAGTTTGAGTTCTGGTTGAATTTCCTTTTTTCTATCTGAGAGTTGGAGGGAGACAGGAAATGAGGAAGGGAGGGAGAGAGGGAAGGAAAAAGTGAAGAAACGGGAGGACAAAATGAGGAAAATATAAGAAAAGAGAGAAAATAAGAAGAGAAAGAGGGGATAGGAAAACAGAAAGAAGGGAAGGGGATTGGGAAAAGAAGAATTAGAGAAAAAGAGAAAGGGAAAGAAAGAAGATATATCAGCCACTTTGTTTTTCTTCTAAAGACAAGGATAAGATGCCTTATTTAAAATGATTGGGATGAATACCTGAATTTAGTGGGCTCAGGGGAGAATGGGAAACAGTGAGTATTACCTAGGTCTCCACTCGGGTTGAGTTCCCAGTTCCCTCATGGTCTTGCCCCACTCAATCTACGTACAGAAGTCTGCTGTTATCCACAAGGGATACATTTTGACCTCCCTAGTGGATGTCTGAAACCACAGATAATTTCTTCTTTTTCATGGCATTTGAGAAGTAAACCTCAGCCATTATCTATTTCGCTACTGACAGACATTTAGATAGTTTTCAGGTTTGAGCTATTTTGAATAAGATTGTTATGAATATTCTTGTACAAGTTTGTATATGTAAGCCTTCATTTCTCTTAGGTATATATCTAGGGCTGATGTCACTGCGTCATAGGTAAATGTATGTTCACCTTTGTATGTACAGCCAAAAGGCTCCCAAAGGGACTATCAGTTGACATTCCTCCCACCAGGCTAGGAGAGCCCCACTTACAGTGTCTCCTCACTGACACTTGGTATCGTCAGTGTGGGGTCTTATCTCATTGTGGGTTTGCTTGATCCATTAATGGTTGTAAAGTGGATTTGATTACATCAGTAAAACACTCCACGTATCTGTGACTCTGCCGATATGTTTAGATTAGGATTTGTCATATTTTATAACTTTGGACCAAAATCGTCCCAGGCATCCCTTCCCGGGTGGTTACGGTGCACTGACATCGCTTTCTTTAGAAACTATGTGAGACTAAATTTCTGCTTCTGTTTCATGATCATCACCGATTCCCTCATAGGACCAGAGTATTGTCTTTATATGATGAGACACTGCCTAGCTCTTATAGGCACATTCTTCTTGGGGTCGTATCCTCAGTCTCAAGCCAAGTAAGTCATCTCAAGTTCCATGTGCTCTGCTCTCTGTACCTCTGTTCCTTGTTTGCCATCCCCCACCAGCCTGATTAAAATTTAGATCAAATAAAATAATCTGAATCCAATCTAAACTCATCAGGACCCTTCAGAATCTTATGGTGATTTTTCTATGTATTTTCCAATGATTAGTGTTATCAATTACCATTTTTCCATTTAGATATCCTCTCTTATGGGGTGATTATTCAGGTATTTTCCCATTTTAAAAACTGGGTTGTCCTTCTCTTTCTTATTTATTTTTTATAGTTCACCTATATTCTGGATATGACTTATCAAATTTATGTGTTAAAGTCTGAACAGTTTCTCTTTTTAGAATCTGGTGATAGAAGTTCTTAAAAGAACCTATATTTTTAATTACACTCATTGTGGCCTATTTTAGAAATCTTTGTTTACACCTCAGTATAAAGATATTCTCATATCTGTTTAAAGACATCTCGTATATTATATCTTAGCATATTATTGTGCTAGTTTTTGCATTGACTTCTTTAGCCCACCTGGAATTAGTTTTTCAATATGGTGTGATGTAGGAGATAAGATTTAAATTTTACTTTATGGATAGCCAATTAACACAGTATCATGGATTAGAATTCCACCCTTCCCCAGATACACCACAGTATGTCTCTGGTCATAAATCAGGGAATCAAACATCCATGGCTCCGTGCTTGAATCTTCTATTTTGTTCTCTTGATTTGTCTCTTTGTGCACCATACCATTTTAATTTGTAACTTTATTAATTTTGGATACTCCATATTAAAATCTTTGAACTGTGGGTCATCATCTTAAAGACTGCTTTGGTAATTTTTATATCTCAGTATTTTCATATCAAATCTAGACATAGTTTATCAATTTCCATGGAAATCTTCAAAGATTTTGGTTTCTGGAATTATAATAATATGAGTCAGAACATCTTTGCAATAATCCCTCCCTTTATGTAAGTCTTTTAAAATCTATTTCAGTAATATTTTATATTTTCTGTATAAACATCTTGTACATTTTTATTCATTTGCTCTTAAGTGTTTAAATTTTTATTCAATTATAAATGATACCATATTAAAATTCTTATCCTAAATTGCTGCTTGTATATGGAATTCTGTGAAGATCTTCTGGTGTATTGATTATACATTCAGCAACTTGACTAAATGAGTTATTAACTAATAATTCATCTCTAGATTCTTGTCAGTTTTCTCCATGAATATGCACATGAGTATTAACTTTTCATTTCATTTTTCATGCTTTATTGAACTTCAAAGTATCTCTATTATAATTTTGAAAGAAAAAGTTGTAATTGTAGACACCCTTGTTTTATTTCCAGGTTTAGGGAGCAAACCTTCAGTATTTTACTACTAGGTATGACATTTTCTATATGAATTTTGACAGTTTAATTGAGGAAGTTTCCTTTTATTATTATGTTTAATGAGGTTTTAATTTTTTTAATCCTGGATGAATATTGTATTTTATCAATTCATTGTTAGCAGTAGTGAGATGGGTCATGGGGATTTTCCCCCATTTCTTTTTTGTAGTCTAGTAAATTACATTAATTAATTACATTCCTTTATACTTGTCCTGGACACTGTAAGACACTAGATTTCTAAGACTGCAAGCTTTTCTCCCAACTGTGAACACGGATTGCTGACAGCTCTACCTCAGTAACCTTTTCTACTAATAGACCTTTACTGAAAGGAGCCTCTTTCAGTGTCCCTTCCCCTGCTTGGGGTCAGCCTGCACCCATTGTGATTATATACATGAATAAAGACATGGAAAAAATGTATGTGTACATACATCTAATATGTGTATATATAAAACACATATGCATATATATACATACATGATACACAAATATAAAATTTTATTAGTTTTGTACATATTTAGAACCTTGTTTTATAATGTATTATGTGACAGTATGTCTGCCTATTCGATTGATGACTTTAACATTATGAAATATCTCTATCTCAAGTAATGCTACTTACTTAAATTTTACCACAAACAGTAGGGCTATACCATATCTTTTATTAGTACTTGTATGGCATGTATTTTCTCATTATTTTATTTTCAACCTTTCTGTCACTTTACATGTAATGAGCATCTCTTCAAGTAGCATATGTATGTATTCTGTTTTGATTCAGTCTAAAAATTTTTATCTTTTAGCAGCTTTTCTTTGAAGAGTTTATTCATTAATATTTACTGTAATCACAGATTGACTTAGATTTCAGTCTACTCTCTTACTGCTTTATATTTATCTCTTGTGTTATTTTTGGAATAATCAATTTTTAAGATATCACCTTGATATTCCTCCCTCTATTAGGTTATAGTTATACATTCTTTCACTACTTTGTTTTAGATGTTACAACTTAATTCATTCTACATAATACATTTACCATGTCCTTGCCGATGCAAAGATTGTAAGCTCCTTACTTCTATTTTCCTACCCAATTCCTGCCTTTTATAGTATTGTTTTCATGTATTTTAATTCTATGTATGCTTTTAAAAGTCACAAAACATTAATATTAGTGTTGTCTGAACTTTCAATATTCTTTTATCCTACCTACTTCTGCATTCTTTCCTGTTATGTGACATATTTGTCTATTTTTTTATTGTTGTTGTTTTATTTTTTGACTAAAAAATATTTTGCTGCTGAAAATTTCCCTGTTTTTGCTTGCTTGAAAATGTCTTTAGTTCATCTTAAGTTTTGAAGAGTATTCTCATTGGATATAGAATTCTATATTGCAAATTTTTTTCATCATTTTTAGATATCATTCCATTGCCTTCTCATTGCTATCATTTCATTGCAGGGTCAGCTGTAAGTCTTAACTTCCCTTTAAAATTAATTTATCTTTTTTCTTTAATTGCTTTGAGGTTTATTCTTTCATCTTCAATTTTCAGCTTTGAAAATATGTATCTTTTAGATAGTTTTCTCTTTTTTAACTTAACCTACTGAGGTTTCATGAAAATTCTTGAATCTGTGACTGATGCTTTTTTGTCTGTTTTGAAAAAGTCTTAACCACTATTTTTTTGAATATTATTTCTGTTCTCTGTTCTTCTGGAGAATATCTGTGTGTGTGTGTGTGTGTGTGTGGGTGTGTGTGCGCGTGTGTGCATGTGACATAATTGTCTTTGATTTTTATCCACTTATCTCTATGTTCCTCAATCTGGAGGTTTCTACACACCTACACTCCAGTTTAGATTAGGTACATTCTTCTGTGTTTTATCTACAATTAAAATCATCACTCTTCATTCACTGTATTTCTTAGTTCCAAAATTAATTTATATTTTCCTTTCTTCCTTCCTTCTGTCCTTTCTTTTTGCCTCTTTCTGTCTTTCCTGTAAATTCTAGTCTTCCAGTAAAGTTCTCCATATTTCTCCTTTTCTGTTTACCTATATTAACTGCAGTTACTTAAAGTTCTTATGTAATAACTCCATTATCCAGATTGCCTATGAAAATGTAATGTTGCTTTTTTTCTGTTCTTTGTTTTTGGTTCTTACTTTAGTAGTAGCAGATGATTCAAGAAAAAAAAATGTATACTAAAATTTCACATTTATATCTCTGAAGTTTTCACCTCTCTAGAACTTCAATCACTGAAATCTCAGGTAAATTGGCACCTTTAATCTCCAAAATATTCTCCCAGTTTAGAGAGACAACTATAAGCCCAAGGCTCTTGCTTTCTATTCAGCTTCTATCCTTCTATCTCCATATTAATGAATCAATAAAGACTTTTTTGATAAAATTTTCTTTTTCTATTTGGAATAATAGCTACTCAAGTCTTATTTGCCTTGGTTACTTTCCAATGCCTTCAAACAGTGTTTCATTTCATTGTAATATTTTAAAATTTGTTTTAATTAGTTATACATGACTGTAGAATGCATTTATACTTTTTAAAATATCATACATAGATGGGGTATAATTTCCCATTTTTCTGACGGTACATGTTGTAGAATCACATTGGTCATGCAGTTATATGTAATAAGGTAGTAATGTCTGTTTCATTCTAGTATCCTTCTTATCTCCATATCCTCTCCTCCCTTCAACTCTCCTCTACTTAATCTAAAGTAATAATGTAGTGTCTTTTATTCAGTTTTATAGTTATGATAGTTTCCATTGTATGCAGGAACCTAATTCTCCTTTCTTAATTTTAATATGTTATTAATTTGGCTTCCAAGAAATTTGTCTCTGTTTTCTTCCTTACTGTTTGTTCCTTTGAATACTCTTGTAAGGGTCTTTGTTTATTAGAGGTAAATTTCACGTGCAAAATAATAGCATCTTCCTATCACTCATCATTTTTTATTTAATTTTGTTTTAAATAAAATTTAACCCGACATATATTAGTTTCTCCTCACTAGATGTTAAGTGCCATAAGAGTTGAAATGTTTTTCACCACTGACTTTGCAGTTTTCTATAGAATATAGTCAGCATTCAATTACTATTGCCTGAATAGAAAAATGAGCGAATAGGGTATATATTGTGAACTTGGATTTCAAAGTCATGAGGTTTCCTTTTAAAAATGAATATTAACGTGTTGATTAGATAAAATTAACATGTAAAAATATTAGTATATTGCCTAAAATACTTAATAAATGTTAGTGATGAAAAATCAAATAATATTACTAAGTAGGGTCTAGGTTTAGGAACATAGTGGAGAAACAGTCTAAGTTATTAATATGTGAATTTTTAGGGGCTTTAAATTTTTAGGGAGCTTCTTTTACATTATGTAAATAACTGCATTGAGTTGGTGTGGTTGCTGACTTGTACAATTTGGGGATAAAGTAGAGATTCTATGACAAGTCTACCTTTAAAAGAACAGGTGAGTCAACCGAGCAAAGTAAGTCTTTGGAGTAGGTTCCTGCCCTGGGCATTCTCTCTATGTATGTGTGTGCAGATTTAAACATGTGAGTATACTTGTTCTTTATTAATGGATTACATATTTGTAAATTTACCTGCTCACTAAAATTTATTTGTAGTCTCCAAAGATCAGTTCGTATGGTGTTTCATTTTCAGACACACTTGTGCACAGAACAATGTAGAATCTGAGTGCCTGATAGCCATGTTCCCAGTTGAAGTCAAACAGCAATGTTCTATCTTCTCATTCCACTTCTCAAGTGTTCTTTTTGCTCTTTACTGCCACATATTTTGCATTTTCATATGGGGTATTTTTGGTGATTTCTGTATTTATAATGGCCCTAAAGCTAAATTGCTGTCTAGTGTTCCCAAGTGCATGAACACTGTGATGTGAATTATTGAAAAACATGCATGTGTTAGGTAAACTTCATTCAGGCATGACTTATAGTGCCTTAGCCATCAGTTCAATGTTAATAAATCAACTATATGAATTAATTGGTGTCTTTAAATAAATATAAAGGGAAGATAAGGCTGAGTATTGATTGGTTGATGAAAATGTGACTTGCTGAAATCTAACCCTCTATTTCCCCTGGGAACAAAGATTTAGTACTTCCTAATTCAGTGTATGTAGTGACTTTATAAAATGTAATTACTATAAATAACAATGAGTTGTATATGTATTGGGATCTTTTAGCAGGTTCAATGTGCATATGAGTGGAGAGATATAAATATAAAGCATATTAATAGAAAATAGATGCCCCCTTAACTGATTAGGTGAAGTAAATAGGGGGTGCCTCTATCTCATTCCCATGAATGAAAAAACACTTCCCAAATTATTTCCCTTGGAACTTCCTCATAGGATAGTAAAAATGCTGATCCCTCACAAAAATTCCCCATGAACAAAAAGCATATGCTCCAAAGGTCTTCTCCACCAGGGAATAAATGTTGCAGAAAAATTAATAGCATAGACTCTGGAATGCAGTAAGCCTGGGCTCAGATATAGTCACCACCAATTCTTACCAGTGACTTTGGTTAATAACTTAACCTCACTGAGGCTCAATTTCCTGATCTATAAAACGAGGACAGTAATAGTGTCTACTTCATACTGTTGTTGTGACGCACAAGTGAGATTCCCAAGAATGGTGATTAACATGGGCTTTGATACACAGCACATATTCAGCTTTTGTTGGCTGCTATTGTTTTTATTATTGGAATAACAATATTTTTTGGAAAATTGGATTTCATTTCTCCAAGAATGATAAAACTCAGTTTGACAGAACTGGATTGGGATACTAGAAAATATTCTCATGCTCTTCCTGTTTGAATCCTCTTTCTACTTCTCCACTTTCCTGCCTCTAGTATTTCTTTCAGAAGCCCAAGCACTCTGATTCTGACACACTACATGAAAATCCTGGTCCAGGCCTTGATATGGGTGTATTTTCATGGACAAAGAAAAAGGCAGGACTAGGAGCTAAGAATGGGGTAGAGAGAGGCAGGGGCAGTTCCCTCTCCCATGGGTCCTGTGGAGCTGGAGCTCACCCTCAATCTGTCCTCTCTATTCCCCATCCTTCATTAAAAGGAATCCCAAAACTGATTTGAAATTGATTGCCTGAAAACTTCCTGAGGAAATAGATATCCCTGCTGATGAATACTATGGATTTTGATTTTCATTAGGATTTTGGTGCATCAGAGACGCTGGCCTCTTAAAGAGCATCTAGACACAGTGAATTGGTTCATTTTGTGTGTCAACTTGACTGGTCACATAGTACCTAGACATTTGGTAAAATATTATTCTGGCTATGAGGATATTTTTGGCTGAGATTTCCATTTGAAACGGTTGACTGAATAAAGCAGATAGTCCTCCCCGACATGAAGCCTCATACAATCCGATGCAATTTGTTGAAGGCTCAAATACAACAGAAAGGCTGAATAAGAGGAACCTCCTGCTACCTTATTGCTTTCACCCTGGGACATATTTTTTTTTCCTGCCTTAGATCTTGAACTGAAGCATTGGCTTTCCTGGGTCACCAACTTGCTAACTATGGATCTTGAGACTTGTCAACCTCCATAACCACATGAGCAAATTCTTTATCATAAATCTCTTTCTGTGTTTCTCTCTACTGTTTCTGTCTATTTACACACACACACACACACACACACACACAATTGATTCTGTTTCTATGATAAATCCATAAACAAGGGCTGGGAAATGCCTGGCACACAGGTCACATGTCCTCCTATACCTGGCAAACACCATTTCCCACTGAGAACAGTGATGGAGCTGGGCTCAGGGTTAAGTGCTCTCAATTTCTGCCCCAAGGCTCTCTTCATTTCCTGGCAGCCTCCATCCAGATGAAATATCCTCTTCAGGTCAGTAGAGGCCATATAGACTCTCAATGTGAAGTGGGACAAAGACTTTTCTGAACATATGACAAACCCAGGGATCTGACTGCTAAGCCTTGAATTTCTGTTCCACTAGTTGCAATTTGTGCAGCATCAAGAGGGCTATTTAACCTTGTAAGCCTAGGTTTTGTTATCCGTAAGAGGAGAAAAAATTATACTATTTCCAAAACAATGCTGTTAGGATTATATGTAAAGTAGTGTGCTGTTTAGCATATAGCAAGGTTAAAGAAAAGATTATTCATGATATTGTTACAGTGCTAAGGCATTTGGCATGGTGGCACATGCCTATAATTCCAGCTACTTGGGAGGCTGAGGCAGGAGGATTGCACGTCTGAGGGCAGCCTTGACAATTTAGTGAGATCTTGTCTCAAAAATTGGGACAAGAATGGGATCCTAATTAGAATAAGTTACACTCCATGTATGTATAACATGTCAAAATACACCCTATTGTAATGTATTTCTAAAAAGAACAAATTTTTTTTTTTTTAAAAAAAAGGCAGGGAGGATGTAGCTTAATGGTAGAGTACTTGGGAATCAATCCTCAATACCAAAAATAAATAAATAAATAAATCTCCTGAATAAAGTTTACCTAACACACGCATATTTTCCTATAATTCACATCACAGTGCTCATGCCCTTGGAAACACTAGCCAGCACTTTAGCACTATGCTTTAGGGTTGTTATAAATATAGGTATCACCAAAAATACCCCCTATGAAAATTCAACAGTGACCACCATGATCAAGTTGTGCAGTAGAAGACAGAGATTGTGCTCCACCAACATATCAAGGAAAAGTTGGAATTTATAGCCAAGAAGCATGGTGGGTGAGAATCAGTGGATGGAAAAATCACTAAGAGGAAATATCAGTGGTAAAGGAGATCCTAATTAAACCAACATAACAGGATTCTTCCTGAAGCCAGGCCAGGGTGATCACATGTCACTTATGGATGATGGAGGATGAAGGACCTGACCAGTATTGAGGGCAGAGGATTCTGGCTAAGTCAACTTAACAAGATTCTTGCTAAAACAGCAATGTAAAGATGGATATGAAGACTAAAATTGGAGGACTAGTTGTGAAGAAAATTCAGAAGACCATGACTAAAGTTGAGTCGAGGAGACTCTGTCAGTAAGCATTCAAAAATGTTAGCTTTTAAACAAACTGTCCTTGAGGCTACTGTCAGATTCTTCCTTTGAGCATTCACCCAGCTTAGTATTATTTATTGAAAATTCCAAGCAAACTTGATCAGATGGTAAACCTGCGGGGTTTGTGTGGATACTCACCAAATCAACTATGCCAATGTTATTCCAGCCTTGCATTATAGGGAGGAAAGAGATAAACATGGGGATGACCCAGCAGCCTCCCAGCATTAATGCGATGCGCAGAGGGGTCATCTTGTTCCTGTAAACCAAAGGCTGGCAGCAGATGGCATAATACCTGGGGAGACAATGGAGGGGATGGGGCCATGGGCAAGGGAAGGAGTAGGGAGAAGAATAGATGAGAGAAGAGGGGACAGAGGGAGGGGAAGAGGGGGTGTAGAGAAGGGGAAATAGTAGACGAGAAGAATTGGAGACAGAAGCAAAGAATAAAAATAAGAAAGAAAGGAAGGAAGGAAGGAAGGAAGGGAGGAAGGAAGGAAGGAAGTAAGGAAGAAAGAAAGGAAGGAAGGAAGGAGAATAATGGGAGATAAAGGAAAGAGCAGACAGTACAGGAAGGGAAAAAGGGAGGAGAAAAAGGAGAAAAGAACAGAGGAAATAAAATAAGCAATTATGTGATAATATATGTTAACATATGGCCAATGTTCATAAAAATATACTTTAGATCTCATCTGAGAACGGTCACCTGGAGTGGCTCCACATCCCTCTTGATCACCCATTATCTGGAGATGTGTGACACATCTGAGGGTCTTCTCAGTTTCAGGCACAGTTTCAAAGATACCTTCATGCCTGGGCATTTAGGAGCTTCTGCCCAGCCATCTGGGCTGCAAGTCCAGGCATCGTAGCTTCTCTGGTTACAATTTGAGGGACCCAGGCTTTGTCCTATGTCAAATTTGTTCCCTTCCTTTTTTTTAAATATTTTTTTGTATTTGTTCTAATTAGTTGTACATGACAGCAGAATGCATTTCTAGTCTTTGTACACAAATGGAGCACAACTTTTCATTTCTCTGGTTGTGCATGATGTAGAGTCACACCATATGTGCAGTCATACGTGTACCTAGGGTAATGATGTTCAACTCATTCCACCATCTTTCCCGTCCCCATGCCCTTCCCCTCCTCGCCCTTTCCTTTGCCCATTTTCCCCACACACCCTCCCCTATTACGGATCAGCATCCACTTATCAGAGAAAACATTCAACCTTTGGGTTTTTTGTTTTGTTTTGTTGAGTACTGGGAATTAAACTCAGGGGCAGTAGACCACTGAGCCACATCCCCAGCTCTATTTTGTATTTTATTTGGAGACAGTGTCTTACTGAGTTGCTTAGAATCTTGCTATTTCTGAGGCTGGCTTTGAACTCACTATCCTCCTGCCTTGGCCTCCCAAGCCACTGGGATTACAGGTATGTGCTACCATGCCTGGCACGGCCTTTGGGGTTTTAGGGATTGACTTACTTTGCTTAGCATGATATTCTCCAACTCCATCCATTCACCTGCCATAATTTTATTCTCTTTTTAATTATTTTTTTAGTTGTATACAAAACTTTATTTTGTTTATTTATTTTTATGTGGTGTTTAGGATCAAACCCAGGGCCTAGCGCATGCCAGGCGAGTGCTCTACCGCTGAATAATATTCCATGGTTTCTTTATCCATTCATCTATTGAAGGGCATCTAGGTTGCTTCCACAGTTTAGTTATTGTTCCCTTCTTCTTATCACCTGCCTGCACTGAGGAGGTATTCTATGTCTGCATTCTTTAAACTGTGGTCCAGGGATTCCTCTCTATTCTCCCTTCCTCACCCTGCATCAGAATTCACCTGAGGAGGCCTTTTTTAAATGCAGAGCTCAAGAGTCTTCTGAATCAGAGCCTGTTGGAGCCACCTGGAGTCTGCATTTGACCACAGGAGTCATTGCTGTTGTTTGCTAAGTATGTTCTATGTCTTTCTTAGGGGCACATGCACTTCCTGGCCTTAAGTTGGGGGAACCAAGTGACTGGTTTGGGCCCATGAGTCATGAACAGAATTCACATGCATTACTTCTGGGACAGCCAATCTAATTGTTTCTCTGATGCCAAGAATGTAAAATTCCAAATATTGTCTCCTCCATCATTTTCTACATATTGATTGAGAACCCCTATCCTCCTGGGACTCACTGCTCACCCTTTATTGAATCCACGTCCTCTCTACAGCACTTTTTTCCTACTTCCAGGTACAGGTGCAATCTGCTTCACGCAGAGCCCTCATCTCTGTCTCCCAGATATTATGCCCCTACATGATATTTCACCCTGAGAGACCACCCCTTCTATGCCCAGGCATGGTAAGGAATTTGCCAACATGCACAAGACTATGGTAGATCAACTACTTCTCTTTGGAAGAGTCGTAAAATAAGTACAAAAAGACAGGCTAGAGACGAAGCCTTTTATGAAAGATTTTTGTACTATTTAATAATAAGCCACCCCCACATGCCCCTAATCTTATGCAGTTCACTTTGTTAATTTTTCCCGCCTCTTCTTTTTTTAATTCAAAGCATAACTAATATAACAATGGATATATTCTTTGAAGAGGTGGTGGTAGGATGGGTGGGGAGAGAGGGTGGATTAGAAAGAGCCCAGAGTTTGAGCAGGAGAGCTGGATCTTTCTGGAGCTGGGAAGGACAAAGTCTATCCTTCCCTCTAGGGTCTCAAGGAGCTGCTGACTATATCCTGCAGGAAGCGTTGCCTGGCCAGCATGCCATGTGGGGTGTGCTGATTGGGACCAGAGAATCTGAACAATGGGGAAAAGAATGGGAGAGGGGCTTGTTCAGGAGCTCAGGTTTTCTATTGCAAAATGAACATGGTCACAAATTAGAATTAAAGACCATTTGGTAATGGAAAGAATCACGATAAGCTAGAATTCCCTCCATATTCTTATTATAAGAAAGGCAAATATAGCTGGGTAGCTGACTTTTCTAAATGGTGACATTAACAGTCATTAGAGGTTTATTATTAACATAGAATTAATGACAGATTTAGAATAGATAAAAAAGATGCCTTTTTTTTTTTTTTTTTTTTTTTTGTAAATTTGCCCCTTGCCTCATTTCCTGCTTGGGGTGTGGGGGGATCTACTTAATATTCTTTCTCTTTGCTCTTAGTAATAGTATCTCAAATCCTTTAGGAATTAACTCTTTTCTTTTGCAGTATTACTGGGAATAATAATGGGATTCTGACTTTTCTACCTAAGGAGCAACCCAATCAGACCATCTTCTGGGACTCAGTGTCATGGAGATGACAAAGATGGGAAGCCAGTGTTGTGGCCACATTCCACAGCAGCCTCTGGGCAGGACTGGGGATTAGCTCCTGCCCATTGGACCTTTGGGCAGCTATGGTCCTGCTTCTTCTCAGGCTCTCATTCTTTTCTCCTTTCATCAATTAAATAAACAATTTCATATCTTACCCATAAATTCCATTTTGCTTAAACTGGTGTTATGGATTTAATTGTGTTCTCCCTGCCTCAAAAAACATGTTGAAGTCTCAACCTTCAGTACCTTGCAATGTGACCTTATTTGGAGCTAGAATCCTTACAGAGGATGTCAAAAAAAGGTCATTCGGGTAAGCCCTGATCAAATTCCCCTGACACTGTCATAGAAAGAAAAATTTGGACATGAACACTGTTATACACAGAAGGAAGATAGCCCTGTGAAGGAAGAAGACCAGAGTGATGCGGAGTGATACATCAACAACTCAAGAGATATCAAATGTGGATACTAGAAGTTAGGAAGAAATAAGGAAGAGTCCCCCCCTAAAGTTTTCAGAGGGAACATGGCCTTGGTGCAACTTCACTGCAGACTTCAAGGCCCTAGAACTGGGAGAGATAATGGATTTCTGTTATTTTAAACCATCAGTTTTGTTGACCCTTGTTATGACAACTTTCACAAACACCATTGTTGAAAGACAGTCTGTTGCTTGCAACCCCAGGCCCTGCCTCATACAGAGGAGTGCGGATGGCTTTGGATGCCAGATATGTCCTTCATATCTTCAAACAAGTTCTTGTTTCATTCAAGACACTTCCAGATGATAGCTTAGGTTATCCTTCAACTACCACTCCAAAGAAGCAACAGAGGAATAAATGAAGAACAGGTGCCTTTTTTGTTGTTGTGTTATTTATTACCTTTGAGGTTTGAAACCAGGTACCAAGATACTGAGAAAAGAGCAGACTTGAGAAATTGTGGCTGAACCTCCAATGTCACAAAGACCCAAAACTTCAAGAAAAAGACTAAATTAAATATCTTGCAAGAAAGTAAGTGAGTTTGGGGAAGATATCTTACTTGAGGAGATTATTTTGATTTCAAAGGATGTTCACATTTACATGGAATTTACAGAAGAGAACTTTAGAAGATATGATTATACTGGTGCTCATAACATTTTTATGAAAGCCTTTTCTTTTTAAAAAAGAAAATTTTATAGTTGTAGATGGACAGCATGCCTTTATTTTGTGTTTATTTTTATGTGGTGCTAAGGACCGAACCCAGTGCCTTACATGTACAAAACAAGCACTCTGTCACTGAGCTACAGCCTCAGCCCATGAAAGACGTTTCTAAGTCTAGCTTGGCCAAGGTTATTGCCGATTCCTGTGGCATGATAAACATTCCATGAACAATGAGATCTCTCAGTATTCTGCTAAGTTGTTCTGTTCCAATTTGCATTACCTACATTACTAGGAGCTGTTACTACAGAGAAATAGGAAGTAGTGATATGTTTTCTTTTCAATTCAACTTTGAGAGGCATGCTATGGATATAGAGTTCAGTTTACCAATCCCCTATACATTTATACATGCAATCATTTCTCTGGACAATGAATGCCTGCAATAAAGTTGCCTAGAGAGTTCCTTCCATAGGGAACTCAGGTGAGATACAGAACAGAAGTGTCCATTCACCCAGACAGTTCAGGAAATTATTCTTGCATGATCTGGGGTAGGTTGACAAAAAAAATGGGAAAATCCTTTAACTCTGTCTTTAAAAATCAGCAATGATTAAAAGGGAGACAAGAATCTTATTTAAATTTAAATTAGGTTGGTCAAATTATGATTGCTATAAAAGGATATACACAGAAAAAATATGCAATCATGTCTAGATACATTTTACTTGAATTTTTCTCTACATCTTCATCCTATTTCTCTTACAATAAATATGATTTTTAGGGCATGGCATATAAAATATTAGGCTTTTATCTGAAGCTCAAATTATACATCCACTTAAATGTTCAAAATTTTTACCAAAGCTTTGACACCTTTGAGACAGCAATGTTAAA